ATGGAAAAATAAATCATGGATCACTAAAAAGACCAGATGATTGTCTTCTATTGTTGTCCAGGAGTGGTATGTTACCACTACTTACAGATCAGGATAAGTGAAGCAGGTTACGCTTCTTGTCAAGCGATGGCGGCGTGCCTGTGCAGACCGCGCCGGCGGCCAATATAATCCACCGCTCGTTCAGTGTGTGTGACGTCACGCTGAAAATGCAGAATGAGCGGTGGCTTGCGCGCCGCCATCTTTGAGTGTATCTTGGTATACACATAGGGGCGCTCAAAGATATACTCAAAGATGGTGGCGCGCCTGCGCAGAACGCGCCCGCAGCCAATATGGCATTCTGCAAATTAATTTAATGCCCGAATATAGTTTTAGTATTATTGGGTATATAATACATTTGAGTATTTCGGATTCGGGTGAACCGCTGAATCAACCGAATTTCGTTGATTTGCAGGTTTGTCCGAATCCGAATGCACATGTCTAATGGCCAAGATATGTATGCAAGTGTTTTGTTCCATATTTGCTAAGTGTAAAAATACGTTTTGGTAATTGTACTTTTTAAGGCCCCAGTTTCTTTTTTTTTAGCCTGTATCTGTTCTCATGCTCTGCAGAACTTCTGTTTTGCAGCAGACTGCCTTGTCTCAGGAATGGATACACGGTGTCTGTGTATACATTTCTATAGGCTTGTAACCTGAGCCAGCACTACAGGAAGAGGCCCTGAGCTGAAAAGGGAAGTTCTCCCCAAGCATGAGAAGACATGAGGATTTAAAAGGAAGAGCAGCAAAGAGAAGGGAAACTACCATGGATTACAGTAAGGCGCACATTACAGTATTGTTTTATGTAAAAAAATCTGAGGGTTTAATGTCACTTTAACCTTCAATCACCACCACCAGGTCCGCAACATTAAAATGATTATTCGCTAAGTTGCCGACGGCAGGCGAGTAAATAACCGAGCCGAAGTGAACAGGGCTGAACGACGTTTCACTCCGGCTCAGTATGGCTGATTTCAGCCGTACATCGGCTGAAATCAGCCGTACATCGGCTGAAATCAGCCGTACTAGAGCAGCAAAGAGAAGGGAAACTACCATGGATTACAGTAAGGCGCACATTACAGTATTGTTTTATGTAAAAAAATCTGAGGGTTTAATGTCACTTTAACCTTCAATCACCACCACCAGGTCCGCAACATTAAAATGATTATTCGCTAAGTTGCCGACGGCAGGCGAGTAAATAACCGAGCCGAAGTGAACAGGGCTGAACGACGTTTCACTCCGGCTCAGTATGGCTGATTTCAGCCGTACATCGGCTGAAATCAGCCGTACATCGGCTGAAATCAGCCGTACATCGGCTGAAATCAGCCATACATTGGATGCCTTTGGTCTGAGATCGGCTGAGCCGATCGCTCCAGCAGCTCACTCGCTGCCGTTCGCCCCTAGTCTCACATATTCTCATAGGGGCCGGACGGCAGTGAGTGAATAGCCCGAATGTCGCTCAGCTAATTTGCACGGTACCTCCTTGGTACCGAGCAGAATAAAAAAGAACTGCAAAGAATGTTACATTTGCAAAAATGATTTAGGGAAAAAAATAGGAAGATTAAAAAAAAATTTTTTTAAATAAAAGAAAGATACATTTAAAAAAACCCGAAAAAAATAACAATTTCCTTAAACCGAACTGAACCGAAGCGCTCCGGTGGCTGAAGAGAGCCGGAGGATCAGCTGAAGCTACGACTGGAACCTTCGGCTCCTTAGTGAATAACCCCCTTAGTCTACGTGCAAAGCTTGGGCAAATTCAAGTTGAAATTAAAACTATGGTGGAAAATTGGAAAAGGTTTATCATATTCTCTACTCTGTGTACATTATAAAGAAGTCCGCACAACTTTCATACAGTTTTCCAAATAAAGTCACAATATTTTAATCTTTATAAACCAGAATAAAAGAATACATAATGAGAGTTTTGTGTGCACGCTATTGGCGTCCATTAATCTGTTTTTAGTTTCTCGTGGACACACAAGTTATGTTACAGTGAGTCAGTAAAGTCTTTGGGGTATTGTCCTCTCTCCGCAGAAGAACTCAAACAATGGATATGCGCACTACTAATTGATGGTCACTATGTTAAAGAAGTGTGAACTGGGGGTGGTGGGTGTGCAAGCTCCTTACAACAGGGAGAGGGACACTGTATCAAAAACACAGCAATACTCAAAAACTAACTTTGGGAGCGCTACTACCCTTTTGGGAGTGCTGGTGTCCTATGTAGGGTTGCCACCTTTTCTTCAAGTGAAACCCGAACACTCTAGCAACGCACGGCCATTTTTTGGGGAGAATGAGCCGTGGCGTATTCATATGTAAATAGCACTGCCCATTCATATGTAAATATCACAGTTGAGACTATTTTCAGTGGGGGGCCAGTAGCCCATATCTTAATTTTGGTAGCCCCTGTCTGCCTGACATCTTGTGTCCGGGTTTCTGCTGCCATGAAACCCGAACACAGCATTCAAAACCCGAACTGTCCGGGTGAATCCTGTACAGGTGGCAACCCTAGTCCTATGGTAGCTAGCTGTATGTAAGGACAATAGACTCACGGTTAGGAAGACGGCTGGTGTGTCTGAAGATCCCCTGTCGGGCAGCAGCTGGCATCTGGGAGTCCAGTCCCTGGAAAGGAGCCTTCTGCAAGGGGTGGATGGTAGCAGGTCTGGATGATGTGTGGAGCAATGAAGCGAACCACGTACTCGGCTGGCCAGGCCGAGTCACGGCGGCTTGAAAAGGGAGAGGAGCCGCGAATGGCTTTAAGACAAACTTCTAGAAACAGGATGTCTTGCTGCACTCCTTACCGGAACAACCCCAAACTGGGTGGGTGCTTGTAGTGACCACGGAAGGCACCGTGTAAATCACAGAAAAGAAGAATAATGTCACCAGCACACCATTTTTGTAAATCAATAATCCATTTTAATGGCACATTGTCATCCAATGCAAGCGCTTTCGGGGCCGCAGGGGGTCCCCTTCATCAGGCTCAGAATGACCTTTAAGACAACAGGCGCCGTGTGTCCACAGACTACGTCGGACCGGTATCCCAGGGGTACACAAAATTTTATAAGTGAAAAATCGGGAGTGGTGGAGAGCAGTGTATGGGGATGAAGGCTCACAATTGGATGGCTACGCGTTTCGAGGCACAGCCTCTTTGTCAAGCCTCAATGCAATACTAACCGCGGGAAAGCGGAGATCTTTTAAAACTGACAGGGGGGAGGAGTGATAGCCTATCACAGGGGTGTAGTAGCTAACAATCAGGAAGAGGGGATGGCTAGAAAGTAGGAGACACTCCCCGGAGACACACATGGCGGTATGGATAGTAGAGAACTAACATGCTGCAACTGTCATCTGAACGGATCTATTTAAAGGCATTCTGATGCTCATTGGCTGTATTCCAAAAGTATTTCGGACGTGTAATAATGCCCAGAGTGGTAGAGACACCCGATCAACTTTGGAAAGGGGTGGAAATCTAATTCATAAGGATGTATAATAATTGTATAACAAATCTATGATTAAAAACCTTTAATGACACTTATTTATCAAATCTATTAGTACAACTTTCAATGATGTCATACAAGAATAATATAATGAAATGATTTCCTTATAAATAAAATTCTTACAATGTTTACTATAAAAAATGTGTATAGCACCTGGCTTAAAAAAATGGTATGAATTTTCATGCCCACCCATATACAAGTCCCCCCCATGGGTATGTGCGTACACACACACGCATGTGCACACACATACACCCACACGCACATGCACGTATGGACACCCGCATATGCACGATTCTAAAAACGGGGGTGCCGAAAATTCCCATGGATACACAGAATAGTGATTGGGGTATAAAAAAAAAACCTTTGTTACATGTGTGGTGAACTGTGTAGCAAAGGGGAGCTTATAATATAGTATGAATCTCAATTTCCTTATTTAAACCAACTGGTGTCAGGGTATTTAATTTGTAAATCCAGGTTTCTCTTTTACACAGCGAGCGAAAGCGTTCTGATGATGACAGATGAATAGAGACATGCTCAATGGCAAAGACCCGAAGGTCCCGAATTATTTTTTGGTGTTTTAAAGTGAAATGTCGTGGGACACTATGTACGAGGTCCCCTTTCTCAATCAAACGTCTATGGTCCCCGATTCTGGTACGTAACGGGCGTATGGTGCGGCCAATATATAATAGCCCACACGGACAAGCAGGGCGTTTGCCTGGAGCGGCAGATTCGCTGAGAGCGGCACTGACGGGATGACGCGGACGTCGGTCTGGAGAGTGGACGGCGGGCGGCGTTGATTTACGGTGAGTCAGTCCGGGGGGTGGCGGATGCTGTCGTAGAGAAGCGCTATGGCTTCTTTTTTTTTGTTTAATATATTTTTATTATTTTGTTTCCATAAAAGTACATTGAAGCAAACATTCATAAACATTAGTTTCAAATTATCTCTTAATTTAATAATTGTTTATAGCTCTATTTGAGATCATTAAACTTCACCCACTTCCCATTTCCATCACTAGTCCCTCATGTGTTCTCTAGTGTAATAACTAAACAGTGTACAATCAATCATAATCCCTTTTATTGCAACTTAAACCATGTTCCTGGTATGGCTTCTTTAGATGGTCAAAAGTGACAAGTGAGGCACCTAGGCTTTTTGCATTGGAAGATGCCCACCCTATTGCCGAATAGAAAATTCTTTGGTGGAATCTCAGGTGCTTGAAATAAACGACTGGGTCCTACCATATTTTTCACATTTTTAGATTTCCTAAAATCGATGGTCGGTTGGGAAGGTAAATTAGGGCCTAATCTTGGGTCCTTTTTTAAAATGTGCCAGTTCTTGTGAATGACCTTCTGGATCGCTTTAAAACCATTATTGAATGTGGTAATGAATCTGATTTTGTTATTGTCTTCTTCAGTGGTGTCCTCGCTGTTGTCAGGGCCTATATCTCGATTGGTATCCTCTCTCTGCAGGGAACGTCGGTGTGTCCTGGAAGCAAATTTCGGGGCTGGTTGGGTGCTTTTGTGTCATCTTCATGCTCAGGTCTTCGTAGGACATTGGATTTTGTAGCCGACTACGTATGCCTGGACATACACCCGGACCTGATTGATCCTGCCAGGAGACACCAAGCGTCAGAAGGACTAACACCAAAACCAAAACTTGGCAACATTTTTTTGCTTTTCTTTCATTTTTGCAGTAAAAAAAATTCTCTAGATATCAAATACCTTGCCGATGAGACTTCTCACATCACATAGTTGATTGTAGGAGTCCCACATGGTTAGTGATGAGGGTTGTATGGAGACGGGGAGGAACCTCCCTGTCCCTCACTTGCTCGTCACTGCTGAGGCAGAGATCATTGGCCTCAGTGGGGGTTTTTTTTTCTTTTTTTGTTTGGACAGCTTGGACCAATGGCGCTTTGCCATTGGTTCAAGCCGTCCACAGAGCTCCCGCATCTAACAAAGAGTAGAGGCTGTGACAGCTCTGGCCTCAATGGTTAGGTTACACAAGCAGTAGGAAGCCCACTGCTGTGTAACCTAACTACCTGTCAAAAGCCAGATGCATTGCCCCCTGTAATTAACAGGCAGCGCTCCGTCTTTGACAGGTTACACAGCGGGGAGGCTTTCCCTGCTGTGTAACCTGATAGAAGCCGATCTGAATGGAGAAAAAGCTGTCAGCTTCAGACTTGAAGCTGTCAGCTTTTTCCTGCATAATACTAGGCGAGGCTCTGCCTCCCCTCCCTCCCCTGACCGCACGTCCCTGGGTTGTAGTGCTTGGTGAGCTCCTGCATGTACACCATTCTAATGTTCGTCCCCAGCAACATTCGTTGGGTAAAAGAACTGTTGCAGTTTGCTATGATGCCCTTGCATAGTGTGCTACAGTGTCATGATACATTGCACCGTTAATGTGTAAGTTGGACACCATCAAACCATGGCCCTAAAATGACCAGTATCTCCAGCTATGCTCAGAGCAATCCACACCCACTGCTGTAAGGTGGGCCCCTATCCCATTTCCTCTGTTGGGCCCCAGGTACCCTAATCCGACCCTGCCTACAAGCGTTCAACATGAAAAGTAAGGTCTGGTGACAGGGTCTCTTTAAACATACAGTAGTCCTTGGATCTTTCACTATTCACACTTTTCTGTGCTGAAGAAAGGTGCGATCTGAATGTTTGCTGAAGGTTCAGGCACTATACATACAATTCTGGGATCTGCGCTTTGCCGTCGTGCCTTGGCATAATATTAATGGTCAGCGGTCAGCAATGTATGTTACAGGTCTGTCTGAAAATCTGGGTGGTACTACTCACCGATATTTGGTACACAGTTGGACCCCCAGGGGACCGCAGCGTTCCACATAACTCTCTCTCACCCCCTGGCGGACGGCTCTGGAAGTGCTGAGCTTGGTCGTGACGATGGGACACGTCCTGTGTGAGAGCAACGGGAACGGGAAAGTTCTATAACAATTCACACCGTAATCCGGATTTCATCTGAACTCAGGACTGGACAATGCAGCAAAAAGGAACCGCATCGTAATACGTCAGAAACACGGGAATTGTTTATAGTGAATAGGGATAAGCTCAGGCTCAGACCAAACCTGACAGCTACAGTAGTATGTAACACGGTGCAGGGATCAGGAGTATGTAAAGCAGAGTGCAAGGTTCAGTAGTAATTAACACAGAGTTCAGAGGTCAGTAGTAAGTAACGCAGTGCAGAGATCAGTAATATGTAACACAGAGTGCAGGGATCAGTATTATTTAGTACAAAGTTCTGGTATGTAACAGTGCAGGGATCAGTAGTGTGTAACGCAGAGTTCAGGGGTCAGTAGTATGTAAAGCAGAGTGCTGGGGACAGTAGTGTGTATAAGCAGAGTGCAGGTTTCAGTAGTATGTTATGCAGAGTGCTGGGGTCAGTAGTATGGAACGCAGAGTTCAGGGGTCAGTAGTATGTAAAGCAGAGTGCTGGGGACAGTAGTGTGTATAAGCAGAGTGCAGGTTTCAGTAGTATGTTATGCAGAGTTCAGGGGTCAGTAGTATGGAACGCATAGTTCAGGGGTCAGTAATATGTAACACAGAGTGCAGGGATCAGTAGTATGTAACACAGAGTGCAGGGATCAGTATTATTTAGTACAAAGTTCTAGTATGTAACAGTGCAGGGATCAGTAGTGTGTAACGCAGAGTTCAGGGGTCAGTAGTATGGCACGCAGAGTGCAGGGATCAGTAGTATGTAACACAGAGTGCAGGGGCCAGTAGTATGTAACACAGAGTGCAGGGATCAGTAGTATGTAACACAGAGTGCAGGGGCCAGTAGTATGTAACACAGAGTGCAGGGATCAGTAGTATGTAACACAGAGTGCAGGGATCAGTAGTATGTAACACAGAGTGCAGGGGCCAGTAGTATGTAACACAGAGTGCAGGGATCAGTAGTATGTAACACAGAGTGCAGGGATCAGTAGTATGTAACGCAGAGTTCAGGGGTCAGTAGTATGTAACACAGAGTGCAGGGATCAGTAGTATGTAACACAGAGTGCAGGGATCAGTAGTATGTAACACAGAGTGCAGGGATCAGTATTATTTAGTACAAAGTTCTAGTATGTAACAGTGCAGGGATCAGTAGTGTGTAACGCAGAGTTCAGGGGTCAGTAGTATGGCACGCAGAGTGCAGGGATCAGTAGTATGTAACACAGAGTGCAGGTGATCAGTAGTATGTAACACAGAGTGCAGGGATCAGTATTATTTAGTACAAAGTTCTAGTATGTAACAGTGCAGGTATCAGTAGTGTGTAACGCAGAGTTCAAGGGTCAGTAGTATGGCACGCATAGTTCAGGGGTCAGTAATATGTAACACAGAGTGCAGGGATCAGTAGTATGTAACACAGAGTGCAGGGGCCAGTAGTATGTAACACAGGGTGCAGGGATCAGTAGTATGTAACACAGAGTGCAGGGATCAGTAGTATGTAACACAGAGTGCAGGGGCCAGTAGTATGTAACACAGGGTGCAGGGGCCAGTAGTATGTAACACAGGGTGCAGGGATCAGTAGTATGTAACACAGAGTGCAGGGGCCAGTAGTAACCCAGATCAGTTATATGTAATTCAGAGTTCAGGGGTCAGTAGTATGTAATACAGAAAGTGAAAGTCAGTAGTATATGACATAGTGCAGTATTTGCTGCAACGAACGTTCATCCAAAAACGAAATTTCGACCGGACTACCGAATGGGAATGGGAATTCGGATTTGTTTTAGCTGTAATTCGGATGAATCCGAATCTTTGAATTTCCGTCCGAATTTCGTTTCGGAACACCTCCATCCCTCAAGCAAAAACACCTTCCTTCCAGTGCAAACACCTATCCCCTCCCTCTGTAAAATTCACTCATCAGACCTCAGATGAAGTGGCATCCAGAAAAGTGAAGGAAGTCCTCCCAGGTCTCCCATTGGCTGCGTCATATTACACAACAGAGCTGAGTAGGAGCCTAGGACTTTCTGCAATGTCTATTGACGCTCTGATTTAAGGTCTTAGAGGCAGCGACTACTTCTGACCAGAGGGCAGCAAGACAGGGACGCAATCTACCTGTCACATGGCCGCAGTTGACGGGCAGGTCGCGGTCAGCCTGTTACCAACTCCCAGTTCAGACACACTTTTAGTTATACTGCCCCTACTTTCGTCTTCCCACCCTGATTTCAACACATTTGACCCCAGAACTGTCTAATACCAGCATGCACACTGACCTTCACCCCTCAGCTACTTACAGCTTTTCGCAGCGATGTCCCGCAGTGCCAGGGGCACACTCACACCTGTTGAAAGGTTTACAGGTTGCCCCGTGTTGGCAGGGTGGTACACAGGGCTCAGTGACAGCTGGAAGAGAACATAATATATGGATATCAGAGGGTTAAGGGTGATAAGGCAGATGTGATGTGAGGCTATTTGAATGCTATGTAATGCTGGTTGGCTCTGTGCATTGGAAATAAATCTAGATGGTCATCAGGGGTGAGGGGAGTGATTTAGTAAAAATGTTTTCGCCATATAATTATCAATCTGGCCATCTGAAAATTTTGAGCTGAATAGCTGTAGCTCGCGGGATACTGAGCTTAGGGTGACGGGAGGACGCTAGTTTATGTCCTCCCGTGACCCTGAGGAGAACTATGGGGAAAAACACTGACCTCATAGTTCTCCTTTCATTCATTATTCTTCAATGCTGATTTATCAAGGCTTTGCCCGGCTTATAGCTGGATAAAGGCCGTTCCCATGACATTTACTGCTGCTAGATGGAGTTGAGGGTCTTAGGAATTTCTCGACCCCTTGACTTACCTAAATTGGGGGGTGCTTCTCCTCGCAGGCTTCTGTATTGTTTCTAATTTATCACTGGCATTCATTCACCGATCCTGTTTGTGCCAGACTTTCATTCTCTCACAAGTTTTTGGGAATGCAAAACCCGCTTGAAGCAGGTCAAATGCAGATCAGAAGGAGGAAGTGCAGGTCAAATGCAGATCAGAAGGAGGAAGTGCAGGTCAAATGCGGATCAGAAGGAGGAACTGCAGGTCAAATGCGGATCAGAAGGAGGAAGTGCAGGTCAAATGCAGATCAGAAGGAGGAACTGCAGGTCAAATGCAGATCAGAAGGAGGAAGTGCAGGTCAAATGCAGATCAGGAGGAGGAACTGCAGGTCAAATGCAGATCAGAAGGAGGAAGTGCAGGTCAAATGCAGATCAGAAGGAGGAAGTGCAGGTCAAATGCAGCTCAGAAGGAGGAAATGCAGGTCAAATGCAGCTCAGAAGGAGGAAGTGCAGGTCAAATGCAGCTCAGAAGGAGGAAGTGCATGTCAAATGCAGCTCAGAAGGAGGAACTGCAGGTCAAATGCAGATCAGAAGGAGGAACTGCAGGTCAAATGCAGATCAGAAGGAGGAAGTGCAGGTCAAATGCAGATCAGAAGGAGGAAGTGCAGATCTGAACGTGGAACGCATTGAAGACCTGTGTCCCTCAGGAAGAGACCTGGAGCACTCAACAGAAGACCTGGGACACTCGGCAGAAGACCCAGGGCACTTTGGTGTTCTACTGAGGGTCCATGGTGTCCTACTGAGTATCTCAGGCTTTCTACTGAGTCACTCAGTAGGAGACCTGGGGCACCCAACAAAAGACATGGAGTACTTAGTAAAAGGCCAGAAGCACTCAGTAGAAAACCTAGGGAACTCAGTAGGAGACCTGTGGGCACATGCCCTGGGTGCCAGGGTCTAGTAAAACCCCTGTGTGATATTATGTCTAAGTATGGCTCTTTCTGCAGGCAGTATGTGATATATTAACTTGATGAATCTGGCTCAGAATAAATGATAACGTCTCTCACCTATTTCACACTGAGGCCCCTGAAATCCAGCAGGACAGCTGCAGACGTTGTACCCCACACACCTTCCTCCGTTCTGACACGGCTTCTCACAGCGCACAGGCTCTGTAAGTGAAAGATGAGAAATCTGTGGTCGTGTTCGGAAGCCGAGGAGCATCGGAGATAAGTATCATTTCCTATGCTCCTCAGCTCCCTCTAGTGACCATAATGCTGTATCACATTATATTTGCCCTGAAAAGAAAAACACACTAAGAACATTTGTTTTTGCCTCTATTCGCACAGAAGGAAAGTCCACAGAGATTCGCAGAGTGATTGGCTCTGCAAATGATTTAGAAATGGACCCCAATTGTGTGAGGATCTGTGGATTGAGAACTTTTAAAGTCTGTTTTGCTATACAGGCTTCAGTTCTTAATTTCATTTCTGCTATTCACATACCTGATACAAAGAAGATCTCTCACCTATCTGGCAGCGTGCACCGAGCCACCCGCTGGGACACACACACTTGTTGACGTCTATACATTTGCCTCCGTTCAGGCAGGGCGGAGTACAGAGCGCTGGGAAGAGGAACAAACAAAAAGACAGATAGATAGATTTACATACATCACTCATGCTGCATCTGATATGGATTGTAAATAAATCAGAGGTGACCTGCTTTATACATGGAACCCCCTAAGCAGTGGCGTCACAAGGGGGGTCGGCCCACACAGGGTGACACCATCAAAGGGGTGACAACAAAATCACTCACACTGCCCGACAGCTGTACATGAGAGGGGACCTGGCGGAATACCTTATCCCGCCGAAAAGAACGTTCCCACCTCTCTCTACCAGAGTCCATCCCCGAGATGGCCCCTGGATGACACCCTGCCTGGGGACGCCTCTGCCCCTAAGTGGGCTATTCATAGAAGATGAAGAGAAGAAACATGGGTATGAAAATAGATTTAGCATAGGGATCAATAAGGTTTCATATTTTATTCTCTGGAAAAAGAGAAATAAGGAATCTCGCGGTATGCGAATATCTTTTTTTACTTTGGTGGATGAATTTTTACAGGATATGGTGCTGGGGCCAGGGAGGGTACAGGCGCCCCCGGCTTATATCGTGCACCAATGTCCAAGGATCTCAAGTAGGCCATTGGCTTGGCATGTTTGGATGGCACTGCTTTGGTGTCAGTAAAGTTTCAGAATTCAGACGAAAAGAAGAAAATTTTACATCTAACATTGGAAACAATGTATACACATGTCTAAGGACCCGGACAGTGACATACGTGTCAGGCACTGCTCTCCGCTGTATCCCGATGGGCACTGGCAGGTGTTTGGGGCCACGCAGCGTCCACCATTAGCACAAGGCAACTCACACACCGCTAGAAGAGAAAAAGGAGAGATTATTAGGCAAAGATCTCCGGCACTGATACATGTTTTGCCGTTATTGTAACCGGCACATTACAGGAATGAAAGAAAAAAAAAAATAATGTGTCAGTTCATACCAATGAATCGATTAGAAATGAGAGCTGACATCTGACCAGCAACTTAACATGGCGGTCACTCAGGTCCGTATACATTGCCCCGGCCGCTGTGCTTCGCTTCACAGTGCTGAAAATTTTACTTGACCAGAATAATCCAATCCTTCCATCCGTATTTAGTTTCTCTACTTGAATAACGTAATGAATCAGGTGTTGTAATCTCAAAGGGAGAATGCCAGGTGGGGGGAATAGCCCTGAACACTTCTCCCTCTTTGATGGCTCACGTCTTGCAATCATATGTGATACCGGGGGTGTATCTAGGGTCCTAATAGACCAGGAGCACCTCTGGACACACAGATTAAAATGTTGAGGGGCTGGCAGGACATGGGGCACTCAGTAGAAGACCTGGGGCACTCCGTAAAAGACCTGGGGCACTCCGTAAAAGACCTGGGGCACTCCGTAAAAGACCTGGGGCACTCCGTAAAAGACCTGGGGCACTCCGTAAAAGACCTGGGGCACTCAGTAGAAGACCTGGGGCACTCAGTAGGAGACCTGGGGCACTCAGTAGAAGACCTGGGGCACTCAGTAGAAGACCTGGGGCACTCAGTAGAAGAACTGGGGCACTCAGTAGAAGACCTGGGGCACTCAGTAGAAGACCTGGGGCACTCAGTAAAAGACAGGAGTACTTGGTAGAAGACCTGGGGCATTCAGTAGAAGACCTGTGGCACTCAGTAGAAGACCAGGAGCACTCAGTAGAAGACCCATTGTAGGAATTTTGAAGAAATACACAGACTACATCTGTTTACTTGGGCGCCTCATTTTTTTGGGCCATCCTCCTTTCTCCCTTTGGGCAAGGATCAGATCCTTAGCTTGACACTCGCCTTGTCTCTGGGGATCTCTGTGCACATTAAACTCTTTACTTTGTAATTGATATTTTATAACTTTTATACAAGCGTTAAAACCCTCATCGTGAGCAGCGGTTGTTGCTTTCATCATCAGTCATGTGACAAGACTCTCCTCCTATCATGGGGTATCCTCTGCAGAGTTATACAGAGGACCATCAATTTTATGTGTGAAATGTAAAGTGCCGGCACACTGTCACACTGCAGTGTCAAGCGTCATCCATTCATCGTTATAAATCTCGCCTTAGGATTAAATTACCACATGACCGCAATGGCGAACAATGAACACAATGGCGTTGCCAATGACTGATGGAGTAAACGAACCCTGAGAATGAGGAACATTGGCACAACTTCATATAACTTACCATGATGGAGAGAACATAGAGTAGAGAACCTACCTGTCTGGCACCCAGGGCCCGTCCATCCTGAGGGACAGGAGCACATGTTGTGTCTCATGCAGGTTCCTCCATGGGCACAAGGTGGGGCACACATGGCTGCCAAGAGAAGCATGGAGTCAGCACAGCAGGAGTAATGACATTGGAGAGGACAGATCCAGAGATAGAGGGACCCCACATGGACAACTGACCCTATGCACACAAATTCTATATGGTGGATCATGTCTATGTTGAACCCCATTAAATGTACCTTTACCCTTTATTAGTGCGACCATGACAACCCAATCCATCAAATACTTACAAAGAAAGCCGTATCGTACAGCGCCGCGGTATATGTCAGAGCTATATAAATGTATAATAATAGTGTGTGACTGTGGGGGGACATTAGAGTGTAAGCTCCTCTGTACAGAGACTGATGTGACTGTGGGGGGACATTAGAGTGTAAGCTCCTCTGTACAGAGACTGATGTGACTGGCTCAGTGCTCTCTGTACAACACTGCGGTATATGTCAGAGCTATATAAGTGTATGAAAATAGTGTGTGACTGTGTAGGGACATTAGAGTGTAAGCTTCTCTGGTGCTTATGATGATCGGTAGAGTGTTCTTTGTACAGCACTGCAGAATATGTTGGTGCTATATTAATAAATAACATTGAATATAACCTCTTACCAGAGCAGCCGGGCCCCGGGTACCCTGCGGGACAGTCACAGGTATCTGGGGCCACACAGACTCCGTAGTTTTGGCACGGGGGATTGCACACAGCTAGGAGGAAGCAGAACACATCAGAGATATTAGGATGTGAATGATTTCGATGGGATTCGGTGACAACAGAAATATTATGGAATTTGATGATAAAATGATCTAATGATGATATTTTCTATATAAAAGGCTCGAAACACTTAGTTGTATCCGACACGCTGCAGACTGATACTTGCCTGTGTCAGGGGCAGAGACGCACATGTGGCACCTTTCCTAAACATTACCCTCCTGGATTGAAAATCATTTTCCAGAAGCTTTGCGTTTCCGGGTTCAACTGATATCTAGTTGAATTTTAAAGCCCAGGTGAAGGGGGGATTGCTGAACCCCCGAAACGCGTTGACTGCTTTGTGTTTTCTCCTGCAGAGCCAATAAAATACAATTTTGGACTCTTGTTTGACACTTCTTCGGTTGAAAAGTAGGGATGCACCGATACTGGTTTTTCGGTATCGAGTACAGATTTTTTTTTAGTCAGTACTCGCCGAATACCGATACCGGAAGTCCCATTAACTACCTCCCGGCCGGCCGTTTTGTTACAACGGCCGGCCGGGATCTCTAGATCTTTAGACGTCCACTTAGACACGCCCCCTAGCCGCTGGGCGGGCACGAGCGGGAAATGCCAGTCGCTTGTATGGTTGGGGGGGGGGGGGATTGTTATCCCCCTTATGTGATAGCAATAAAGTTTAGTGGAAAAAAAATAGCAAAAAAAATTTAAGTTCCCTCCAAACAAATTTAAAGTTACACATAAAAGTTAATAAAAAAACATTTTCCCCCATACATACACGTGCAAACATGCGTCGGGGGCACAAACGTTCAAAAACGACGATTGCACCCATTACGCCGCACATGTTACATATGGACGCGAACGTCGGAGTGAGAGCAATCATTGTAGGGCCATCAATCACTGATAACACTAAACTGATGAGCTGTAAAAGCTTTTAAAGCGTCGCCTATGGTCAATTTTGAGTATGGTAGTTTTCTGCGATTTCGCGGGTGCGCGCAATTTTAAAGCTTGACATGTTTGGTGTCTATTTACCCGACGTGACCCCGACTTTTATATTTTACCAAAAAATTGGGTCATAATAAATGTTTCCTAACATAATGAAAAAAAAACTTTTTTTTTTCAAAAGTTTCAGTAATTTCTCCTGAATATAGTAAAAAATAAAACCCCCAGTGGTGATTAAATACCCCCAAAATAAAGCTCTATCTGTCCCCAAAAAATGGTATAAAACTCATATCAGTACAGCGCTGCGTGACGGAATAAATGTCAGTCAAAGTACCGCAGCGCTGAATACTGAAAAATGGCCTGGCCAGGAAGGGGGTGTAACACCGCGCTCAGCAAGTTGTTAAGATGTATTGACTCGCCGTCCGGCTTCCCGATTAGCAGGGAAGCCGTCTCCATGCTTCCTCGTCACCTGGTGACGAGGGAGCATGGAGCTTGCTTTCTAGCCAATCAGGAAGCCGGTCGCCATGTAATGACGCGTTGCCCGGCTTCCTGATTGGTCGAGAAGCTGGCCAATCAGGAAGCTTGGAAAAGCATCATTACACGACACCCATCTTCCTGATTGCCCGGGAAGCCGGCCCCGTGCTCCCTCGTCATCAGCTGACGAGGGAGCATGAAGCCAGCTTTCTGGCCAATCAAAAAGGCGGGGGGCGGTAATGACACGCTGCTTGGCTTCCTGATACGAGAAGTATGGGGCTAGGCATCGGAGCATTTGGGCGAGTACGAGTTCAAGCCCAAAAACTCTGTATCGGCACCGATACCAATACTAGTATCAATATCGGTGCATCCCTATTGCAAAGTCATAAACACCCACAAAACATATATTTTTGCCTTTGAATAGACTTCACCATGACCTCTGCAGGCAATAAGTGCAGACATGGCCTACAGCGGGAGTAGGTAACCCCCCTCCCCCCCCAGCTGGAAGAAACATTTAGATGGGAGTTACTAACCAAAACTGAAGGGGTGCCCAAAATTCTGTACGCAGCAGAACATGACAAGAGGAGCATGGTCACATGACATTGTCCTATAACATGGCCGTGTCACGGCTTTGGTGAGACCATTTCTTGGGATTCCATATAATACGGCCGCCTTGTTCTCTTCCACCACCAATGATGGATGTTACTTTTGTATATCGGCTGCTTTTCTAATTGGTGAACATGTCTAAAAATTGAATACACGATAACAAAACACCGGCAGAAGGATATTCATTTCCCCCCAATTCCCCCCAAAAAGTGACAGTTATTTTTAGGGCTGCAACAACTAATCAATAAAATTGATAACAATCGATAATGAGAACTATTCTCATTATTGGTTAGTTGGTTAAGGGCAATTTAAATGCAAGGAATCGATTAGTTGAATAATCGGGCAACTAATCGATTTTTAAAATAATCGCTAGCTGCAGCCCTAGTTTTTTTTCAGCTGACACCAAAGAGACTGGAAAATGACAGTCACATGGGCAGAATAAAAGGTCCTTATTGGTGCGTTATATCTTTGTGAATTGATCCTGATTGGTGCTGCGTTGTAGAGAAATGTATAAGGTTGGAGTGTTCTAACACAAAGTATAATATTGTTCTCACGCTGGCACTTGGTGGGGTCGTCGGAACGGACGGTGAAGCCTTTGTAACAGCTGCAGTTGTAGTTGCCGGCGTAGTTATCACAGGACTGTTCACATCCACCGCGGGTAAAGTCTGCACATTCATCCGCGTCTGGGAATGGAGATAGAGAGAGATTATCTATCTATCTATCTGCCCATCTATCTATCTATCTATCTATCTATCTATCTATCTATCCATCTATCTATCCATCTATCCATCTATCTATCCATCTATCCATCTATCTATCCATCTATCTATCTATCTATCCACCCATCTATCTATCTATCCACCCACCTATCTGCCCATCTATCCACCCACCTATCTGCCCATCTATCTACCCATCTATCTACCCATCTATCTATCTACCCATCTATCTACCCATCTATCTACCCATCTATCTGCCCATCTATCTATCTACCCATCTATCTACCCATCTATCTACCCATCTATCTGCCCATCTATCTGCCCATCTATCTATCTACCCATCTATCTACCCATCTATCTACCCATCTATCTACCCATCTATCTACCCATCTATCTACCCATCTATCTACCCATCTATCTGCCCATCTATCTACCCATCTATCTGCCCATCTATCTGCCCATCTATCTATCTATCTATCTATCCATCCACCCAAAACCCACCCATCTATCCATCCATCATCTATAATATCAATATATTATCTATCCATCCTTCTATCTTTCCATTTATCATCAATGGATATGGTGTATTGTGTTCTCTTCTAGTGTACTATATATATAAATAAAACATGACGTATGACATGTGCAACAAAGTAACAAGAGATGACAACCCATGGGGGTAACATAAAAGCAGCGATGTTATGTAAGTCTGTATCTTTTATCTACCAATCAGTTTTTCTTGTAGCCGGTGTTCTATCAAATGTTGTGACTACGTCAGAATGTGTGACCGGCGACGCGGTCACATATTCCAACGAAGTCCCACGCGGTTTGACTGCGGTGGAATGCGTGACCGCCCATTCGGTCAAGCATTCCAGCGCTTTGTCAGCTCGGCTCACTGCGCATGTGCGGGAGAACCGATCTGTATAACCTCATCTGCCCTGGAACAGCTTATCAGGTCTTCAAATGTCAGCAATAAAACTCTCCATGCAGATCAGGATGTGTTTTGAAACACTCCTGCAGTTACTGTTTGTGAATCCCCCCCCCTCTGCGGCACTCACAGAGTCCAATAGAAGTGACATTTGAGACCGATCAGATGTTCCAGGCAGATGGGGTAATGCACATCGGTTCTCCCGCAGTCAGCCGATCTGCCCTGGAACAGCTGACGAAGCGCTGGAATGCTTGACCTAATGGGCGGTCACAAATCCCACCGCAGTCAAACTGGGCGATATTACTTCGGAGGAGGGGAAGGTTAGAAGTGTCAGGTTTAAACGACATTATTCCTGTGAGCTTCAGAGTGCCGCGGTACGCTCATTGTGCAGACCCGGTTTCAAAACACATCCTGATCTGTATGGAGAGTTTTATTGCTGTCAGACAGGAAGTGAGGTGAGATGTTTGATTTGGGGACACAGGCAGCAATAAAACATGACAGAAGCTCCGCCCCTCTCCCCCCCCTCCCCCCCCTCAATCCAAAACTAAAAAAAGTTGGGCCTTTAAAAGCAAACAGTTGTATATATACAGTACATGTTCCTGGTACACATGTTGCCAGATGTGAAGGATGCATCGTCTTACCATCACAGGTCCTCCTGTTACTGCTCAGCACCCAGCCTGCCCGGCAGCTGCACTCGATGCCGCCCTCCTGCCGCTCAGTGCACGCATGCTCGCACCCGCCATTCTTCAGGTCACATGACGTGATGTCTGCCAGACAGCACGGAGGAGAGAGTCATTGTTTGTAAAGTTATGGGTGGAGAATTAAAAACAAAAAGTTAGCAAGGTCAACTTTTTGCATTTGTTTGTCTTTTTCTAATCCAAATCCAAAAACTTCAACTCTGAACTACAGAGATAATGATCAGGAATACATATCCTTGTGCTGATGCCCTGGAGCCTAGTGTTTACTGACGCGTCCTGAGGTCTCTTCCTGAGCACTGGAGCCCAATAACACACCGACCTCCTTGTCTGTTGGAGTATTGATTAGTAAAGCTCCAAGGACCTTCTGTCTACTTCCACACATATTCTGAGTTCTTGGCTTCAGATTTAGTTTATTACTCTCGAGGTTCCTGTCTGTTCTAGAACTTACTGATATAGAGCCTGAAGTCCTTGTCTCTGTTACAGAACTTAATCACTCAGATCCCAAGGGCTAAAGCCTTGTCTCTGCTCTAGGAATTTCTGAAACAGACCCTGAGATCCCGGTGTCTGCTCTAGGACTTATTGATATAGATTCTGAGGTTCTTGTCTCTGCCATAGAACTTCCTGAAATAGATCCCGAGGTCCTTGTCTATGCTTTAGGACATCCTGAAATCGAGCCTGAGGTCCTTGTCTCTGGACTAAGACTTACAGATATAGATCCCAAGGTCCTTGTCTCTGCTCTATGACTTCCTGAAATAGATCCCAAGGGCCTTGTCTCTGCTCTATGACTTACTGAAATAGATCCTGAGGTTCTTCTCAGTGCTGTAGGACTTACTAATATAGACCCTGAGGTCCTTGTCTCTGCTTTAGGCCTTGCTGAAATAGATATTGAGGTCATTGTCTCTTCTCTAAAGACATACTGACATAGATCAAAAGGTCCTTGTCTCTGTGGTCCTTGTCTCTGCTTTGGAATGTACTGATATAGAGCCCGAAGTCCTTGTCTCTGTTTTAGAACCTAATCATATAGATCCAAAGGTCCTTGTCTCTGCTCTATGACTTTCTGAAATCAACGTTGAGATCCCTGTGTCTGCACTAGGACTTATTGATATAGATTCTGAGGTCCTTGTCTCTTCTCTAGATCTTACTAATATAGATCCTGGAGGTCCTTCTCTCTGGTTTAGGAGTTACTGATATAGCCCGAGGTCTAGGTCTATGTTGTAGGACTTACTGATATATATATCCCAATGTCCTTGTCTTTGCTCTAGAACTTCCTGAAATAGATCCTGAGGTCCTTGTCTATGCCTTAGGACATACTGAAATAGAGCCTGAGGTCCTTGTCTCTGGTCTATGACTTACTGATATAGATCATAAAGTCCTTGTCTCTGCTTTGGAATTTACTAATATAGAGCCCAAGGTCCATGTCTCTGGTATATAACCTAATCAAATAGATCCAAAGGTCCTTGTCTTTGCTCTATGACTTTCTGAAATAGACCCTGAGATCCCTAAGTCTGCTCTAGGACATATTGATATAGATTCTGAGGTCCTTGTCTCTTCTCTAGAATTTACTACTATAGATCCTGAGGTCCTTCTCTCTGGCTTAGGACTTACTGATATAGCCCGAGGTTCTTGTCTCTGCTGTAGGACTTACAGATACAGATCCCAAGGTCCTTGCCTTTGCTCTATGACTTACTGAAATAGATCCTGAGATCCTTCTCAGTGCTGTAGGGCTTACTAATATAGATCCTGAGGTCCTTGTCTCTGCTATAGGCCTTACTGAAATAGATGCTGAGGTCCTTGTCTCTGCTCTAAGACTTACTGAAATAGATCTTGAGGTCTTTGTTTCTGCTGTAGGACTCACTAATATAGATCCTAAAGTCCTTCTCTCTGTGATTCTTGCCTCTGCTGTAGCATTTACTGATATACCCTGAGATCCTTGTTTTGTCTTGGTGCAGACTATGAAGCCCTTCAATGAGGACCATGTCTCTGCTCTAACACTTACTGGGCGTTTAATCATTGCCTCTGTTCTAGTCTTTCTAAAACAGCTCCTGAGATTTCTGCCCCTCTCCCCGGGTTGCACTACTCACTGATGCAGGTCTTCAGGTCTTTGGCCAAGGCCTGGTGAAGAGGACACAGACATTGGAACGCTCCTTCTGTGTTGTTGCAGGTGTGTGAACAGCCACCATTATCAATCTTACACTCATCGATGTCTAGGAAGGACAAAGTCACACAGCTAATATCAAACATTGATCGGCCATGAAAGTGGTTGGAGATCAATAACTTGGGGTTCGGGTAACTGGTCCGATTTCTTACCCACACACTGACGGAGGTCCACATGGAGCTGAAAGCCTATCCGACATACACATTCATTTGAGCCGTCTGTGTTCCTGCAGATCTGCTGACAGCCGCCATTTTTGCTCTGACATTCATCAATATCTGATGGAGAAAACAGGAAACAAGAACAGAGTATTAGAAACACAAACATTTGCGAAAAGTTCAAATTGTAAATATTTTATACTCAGTCTTCAACACTTTTTGTTCCTGAGAAAGTCAAATTATTAATGGCATTTTATAAACATTTATTTATTGTTAATTAAGTTTCATTACATTGAAGAGGGTTTTTTTTTTCAAATTATGAGGACCCAACTTTACTGAGGTTTTTCTCTCCACAGTTTCAACACAAAAGTCCATAAAAAGCCATTGTTTAGTTTCCACCAAGATCTTCTCATACCTGTACAGTTCCTGCCATTTTCCTCCAGCTGGTACCCGGTCGGACACTGGCACTGGAAGCTGCCAGCCTGGTTCACACACAGATGCTCACACTCACCGTTATCCACAGAACACTCATTAATATCTGAAATATTAGAAAAAAAAAGGAATGAATAGCTGGTGAGTATGAAGAGTAGAAGATGGGCGAGAAAGAATGGTAGTTGTGGGTTGGAAAGTGGATTGATGAGGAATGAGGGCAGTTGAGGTGTGGATAGAAAATGATGAGTGAGGACAGGTGAGTTGTAGGGTAGATAGAGATGATGAATGAGAGCAGACGAGGTGTGGGATGGATAGAGGATGCAGAATGAGGACAGGTTAGGTGCAAATCGAATAGAGGATGATGAGGGAAGACAGGTGAGAAGTGGATGGATAGAGGTTAATGAATGAGGACATGTGAGAAGTGGGATGGATGAGGTGAGGTGTGGGATGGATGAGGTGAGGTGTGGGATGGATAAAGGATGATGAATGAGGATAGGCGAGTTGTGTGATGGATAGAGGACGATGAGTGAGGACATGTGAGGTGTGGGATGGATAAACGATGATGAATGAGGATGGGTAAGGAGTAGCGTAGCTAGAGGATGATGAATAGAGACAGGTGAGGTGTGGATTGCATAGAGGTTGATGAGTGAGGACATGTCAGAAGTGAGATGGATAGAGGATAATGAGTGAGGACATGTGAGGTGTGGGATGGATGAGGTGAGGGGTGGGATGGATAAAGGATGATGAATGAGGATAGGCGAGTTGTGTGATGGATAGAGGATGATGAGTGAGGACATGTGAGGTGTGGGATGGATGAGGTGAGGTGTGGGATGGATAAAGGATGATAAGTGAAGACGAGAGGTGTGGGATGAATACAGGATGATAAGTGAGAGCAGTTGAGGTGCAGGATAGAGTGAGGATGATAAGAGGTGAGGTGATGGATAAATAGAGGATGATGACTGAGGACAGGTGAGATGTGGTATGAATAGAGGATGATGTGAGAGGACAGGTGAGATGTGGTATGAATAGAGGATGATGGGGGAGGACAGGTGAGATGTGGTATGAATAGAGGACGATGTGAGAGGACAGATGAGATGTGGTATGAATAGAGGATGATGAGAGAGGTCAGGTGAGATGTGGTATGAATAGAGGACGATGTGAGAGGACAGATGAGATGTGGTATGAATAGAGGATGATGAGGGTGGACAGGTGAGATGTGGTATGAATAGAGGATGATGAGGCAGGACAGGTGAGATGTGGTATGAATAGAGGATGATGGGAGGTCAGGTGAGATGTGGTATGAATAGAGGATGATGAGGCAGGACAGGTGAGATGTGGTATGAATAGAGGATGATGGGAGGTCAGGTGAGATGTGGTATGAATAGAGGATGATGGGAGGTCAGGTGAGATGTGGTATGAATAGAGGATGATGAGAGAGGTCAGGTGAGATGTGGTATGAATAGAGGATGATGGGAGGTCAGGTGAGATGTGGTATGAATAGAGGACGATGTGAGAGGACAGATGAGATGTGGTATGCATAGAGGATGATGAGGGAGGTCAGGTGAGATGTGGTATGAATAGAGGACGATGTGAGACGACAGATGAGATGTGGTTTGCATAGAGGATGATGAGGCAGGACAGGGGAGATGTGGTATGAATAGAGGACGATGTGAGACGACAGATGAGATGTGGTTTGCATAGAGGATGATGAGGCAGGACAGGGGAGATGTGGTATGAATAGAGGACGATGTGAGACGACAGATGAGATGTGGTTTGCATAGAGGATGATGAGGCAGGACAGGGGAGATGTGGTATGAATAGAGGACGATGTGAGACGACAGATGAGATGTGGTTTGCATAGAGGATGATGAGGCAGGACAGGGGAGATGTGGTATGAATAGAGGACGATGTGAGACGACAGATGAGATGTGGTTTGCATAGAGGATGATGAGGCAGGACAGGGGAGATGTGGTATGAATAGAGGACGATGTGAGACGACAGATGAGATGTGGTTTGCATAGAGGATGATGAGGCAGGACAGGGGAGATGTGGTATGAATAGAGGACGATGTGAGACGACAGATGAGATGTGGTTTGCATAGAGGATGATGAGGCAGGACAGGGGAGATGTGGTATGAATAGAGGACGATGTGAGACGACAGATGAGATGTGGTTTGCATAGAGGATGATGAGGCAGGACAGGGGAGATGTGGTATGAATAGAGGACGATGTGAGACGACAGATGAGATGTGGTTTGCATAGAGGATGATGAGGCAGGACAGGGGAGATGTGGTATGAATAGAGGACGATGTGAGACGACAGATGAGATGTGGTTTGCATAGAGGATGATGAGGCAGGACAGGGGAGATGTGGTATGAATAGAGGACGATGTGAGACGACAGATGAGATGTGGTTTGCATAGAGGATGATGAGGCAGGACAGGGGAGATGTGGTATGAATAGAGGACGATGTGAGACGACAGATGAGATGTGGTTTGCATAGAGGATGATGAGGCAGGACAGGGGAGATGTGGTATGAATAGAGGACGATGTGAGACGACAGATGAGATGTGGTTTGCATAGAGGATGATGAGGCAGGACAGGGGAGATGTGGTATGAATAGAGGACGATGTGAGACGACAGATGAGATGTGGTTTGCATAGAGGATGATGAGGCAGGACAGGGGAGATGTGGTATGAATAGAGGACGATGTGAGACGACAGATGAGATGTGGTTTGCATAGAGGATGATGAGGCAGGACAGGGGAGATGTGGTATGAATAGAGGACGATGTGAGACGACAGATGAGATGTGGTTTGCATAGAGGATGATGAGGCAGGACAGGGGAGATGTGGTATGAATAGAGGACGATGTGAGACGACAGATGAGATGTGGTTTGCATAGAGGATGATGAGGCAGGACAGGGGAGATGTGGTATGAATAGAGGACGATGTGAGACGACAGATGAGATGTGGTTTGCATAGAGGATGATGAGGCAGGACAGGGGAGATGTGGTATGAATAGAGGACGATGTGAGACGACAGATGAGATGTGGTTTGCATAGAGGATGATGAGGCAGGACAGGGGAGATGTGGTATGAATAGAGGACGATGTGAGACGACAGATGAGATGTGGTTTGCATAGAGGATGATGAGGCAGGACAGGGGAGATGTGGTATGAATAGAGGACGATGTGAGACGACAGATGAGATGTGGTTTGCATAGAGGATGATGAGGCAGGACAGGGGAGATGTGGTATGAATAGAGGACGATGTGAGACGACAGATGAGATGTGGTTTGCATAGAGGATGATGAGGCAGGACAGGGGAGATGTGGTATGAATAGAGGATGATGAGGGAGGTCAGGTGAGATCTGTAACAAGAAGTATTTGATTCTCACCAAAGCAGGTGTGACCATCTCCATTGAACCCCTGATAACATTGGCAGAAATAAGATCCAATTACGTTTCCACATCGGGCATTAGCGTCGCAGGTGTGTTTACTGGACGAGCACTCGTTCTCATCTGTGTTATAAACATATAGATATAAGAATTATATGATTATATTATCCAGAGACACATAGTTTCCCCATCATGACTATGACCCGTGTTATCATCCCACACACTCACCTTCACAGAAAGTCCCGTTACCGCGAAACCCGGCAGGACAACCACAGCGATAACTCCCGGCTACGTTTTGACAGACGCCAATCCCCGAACAGATGGATGGATTGTCAGCACACTCGTCTACATCTGTCAATGAACAACAGGCGGAGGGTCTTATATATCAACTCTCTGGTGAGAAGAAATTCTCATTGTCTTCCACGACACTCATTGTACCAGATGATGCCGTCTCACTCATGACTCTCATCAGATTGTACAAGACGGGTGCTGGGACAGTTTTCCTTTTGTTGGGTAAACTATCTGCATTTCCCACATTTACCAGAATGCCATCCATGCCTCCAATTTGCCATCCATGCCTCCAATTTGCCATCCATGCCTCCAATTTGCTAGTCTCTATACAAGACCCAATTTAAATACTGCAAACTGTAAAGTCTCGACTTCATACATTTGGGGGCTACATGGCACATGCCTCTGCGAATGTAATGAGAGATACCCCGGGAAGACCGGTTTGGGGGTGAAGGGTGTATTTGTGCTGCTGTAGCTTTTCTTTTTAGGTAGAAATCACAAGTTTTCTGTTGCAGAAACCATATTAGGTGGGTCTGCAGAGAGAGAGACCATGTGATGGCAGCCTTGTACAAGATTTTATTTAGCAGTCCAGGTGTCCCAGTAGAGAGTGACTTGAACTAAGTGGTAAGTGCCACACATGCAAGAAGACCTGAAAAGCAGGTCAGCGAGAAAAGTGGAGAAGCAATGCCAACGAGCTCTGACTGGCAGGAACGTCATTGGAAGATAAGAGGGTCGTTTTCTATGGAAGTACGTCAGCTAAGATAAGAGGTCGCAGCGATAGCAATTGCGACTGGGCCCTGGCGTTCCGCCTGCTGGGGGGGGCCCAGCAAGGAAGAAGAGGGCCCCCCGAGATCGTGCCGCTCCTTCCCTGCCGTGCTGCCACCCGCCAGCATGT